GAAACACTGGGGACAAAGTTTAAAATAGTGCTGTGTTAATATTTTTATCAGAAATTAAATTTAAAATTTATTTTCTGAATTCTATATTTCAATATTCTCAAATAAAAAACACAAATTTGTAAAAAAAAATTTTTTATTTCAGAAACAATTTTTTTCTTTTTTTAAATCAGCAGTGGGGACAAGTGAGGGAATGACATATTGGTATATTTTTATTACCTAAAATTAATAAAAAATAAAAATTGATAATTTTATTTTTATTCTTTTGTTAGCTTGCATTCTGAAGGACACTTTCCCTGAAAAATTTTTTTTCGTAAGTTGTAAAACAAACATAAAATATACTGGGGACATGAAAATGACTGTTTTTGTGAGAATGACCCATATATATGATTATTGAAAAGATTTAAGAGAGAAAAAAGTGTTTATTTCACGAATATCAAAAGATTTTTTATTAGTTATCTCAGATAAAACTCGATGATTAACGTAAACGTGGTAGAATAGGCCGAAGTAATTTTTCTAATTTTGCAGCTAATTTTTCTAATTTTGACAGGCATTTGTTTTGCTCTGAACTTTAGAAAACTAGGAAAATCTATTGCTATTTGGCGTAAATTTCGAATATAAGACAAATAAAAAAGTTCGCCGTTTTCTCTGCATTATATATGGTTAGATTCTATATAAATTAACATTATATAGATTTCGTCGTAATATTATTTTGTTTTGGTTTTCGTGATATACAATATTAGATTTTACATTTTTTGCAAGCTGCAAGTATCTTTCATCCTTTTTTCAGGGGAGGAGGGGAGTAATCAAGATAAAAATTTAGACGGTAGTAGAATGATTCAGCGATATAATATAATTTAATTTTCTGTATTGTTGAGAAGCAGTAAAGCAATGAGCATTAGTTATCATGACGCTAAGTTCTCAATACGGTTAATTATTATTCTGATGAGATGAACTACAAAAAAACGTTTTTTGTTTTATTTTAAAACATTGCAACCATAGGGAAGGGCAACAAATAATAATAAATAGACAAATTGCTTTATTAATTGTGTTGTTATAGGCCTTTAATTTATTGCAAATGATTTCGTAGTGTTATTCGCTACTGTGTAATTGTTTTTTTTTTATTCCTTAATCACAAAGAATGGGTATTTCGCTATTTATTCATTAAGCAATATGCGCGCATTAGAAGATTCCATCTCTTTAACAATATATGATCTGGAATGCCTACTTTTTAATGGCACTGGATTGCGTCAGAAAATGCTTAATAATTGTAAATTGAAATACGTTATGATATCTATCTTTAATTTAATGACATTTAATGAGCTAATTTTTAGATCCTTTTATTAAATAAATATGCTGACAGAATATCTCTCTCTAAATTAAATAAAATTCATTCATGCTTTTTGTGTTTTAGGAATGCTATAATGAATGCCAATTAAATATTAGCTTAAAAGAAGTTGGTTGCCTTCATAGTAAGATGAGACGATATTCAATGGAAAGCGCTATTTGCCCTCATGGTTCTTTTTGTAAGTAAAAAGTTAGAATTTAAGCTATTTTTTACATGCAGTTGTTTTATTTTTGATAACTAAGAATTAGTATCTTTAGCTTGGTACCGTTTCACATCATTAACTTGTTACTTTGCACAATTTTAAGTATCCAATGAAAAAATGAATAGATTATTGATTATCATATTTCAGTTGCTTTCATTTCCACAAATAAGATTAAAACCCGGAGGCCAAAGTTACCTTGATAACCAGGTTAACACTCGGTCTTTTCTTCTGGCTCTATTGAAATGTCAAAAAAAAAATTTTTGCTCAGTAATATTTTTTTAAAATAAAAGCTCATTGGTATTACATAACAAATTTGATGAGTTCACTACAGTTATTTAATATATTTGCTTATCAAATAAGTTCATATAATAAACACAGCTCACATTGTTCATTAAGCTGATCTAAGTTCTAAATCATTTAACGAATCTTTTTGGCGGTAATTTATCATAGCATATTCATATAATTTACATAAGAAATACAAATTCTAAAATTTTTAATAAATTAAGATACCGATTCAAATACATTTACCAGAAAATGTAGCGACATATGGCAGTATTATGGAATTACGTGTTAATAAAGAAACAATCATTATGTGAGTTTTAATCAAATTAAAATACAATCAAAATTAAAAACATATCAATGGCAGAAGAAAAATAAATATTAGGTGAACCTGAAAGTAATGTCCTTTCGCCTCATTAAATATTCGTTTGTATTAAAAACCAATTCATTTTTTTTTTTCGATCCATTTCTATTCATTTTCGATCTGGCGTTGAAAGGTTGTGGATAACGAGGGTGAATACATTATTTATTAAAAATAAAATCTTGAAAAGAAATATCAAATGCACCGAAATGACAATACTTTTCTGTCCACCTAATATTACAGGTAAATACTTTAGGAATACAAAAATACTTTTTTCTCCTTTTTTCTGATGGAGGTCCTCTCTATTATCAGCAGATAGTATTAAACAGGCGTTTATAACTTCCGCTTGATGAATGCACTGATTTACACTGAACTGTGCCGCTAGGATGACATAGGAGGACTGTAAGACTTCCGGTTTGACTGGTTTGTTTCTATGGGACACTGGGTGAATAGGGAAACAATGCCAAAATAATTTTTATTAATGTTTATGCTTATTACAATTAAAAAAAAGTCTGCAAAATAGCTCCCTGTTAGCGGTCATTGCTGTGTTGATGCAAATTAAACTTATTAGTAAACATATCAGAGCTGCATTGGTATCGGGCTAACCATCAGAGGTTTTCGTTGTTCTTACCTCCATTTTTCGCAAATGCTGATAAGTTCCACTTAAAAGAAATCTTCTTGAAAGTCAATGGGACTTTTTTCCTTCAAACAGATGTTCTCCTGTTTTTTAAATTCAAGAGTAAGAAGTTGAAAATAAAATTTTAAAAAAAGCTGCATATCTGCTTTTCTTTAAGAGTTAAAATCTTTAAGAATAGACACCTAAAATCTTTTGTAAGTTATATATTTGCAATAATACTGAAAATAGAAAGATTGAATGAAAAATGAGAAAGGAGAAGCGTATAAACTTTAGAGCTCATTTATTCAAATTAACTAAAGTGTCACTTATCTGTTTCTTCCATTAAGATCTTCAAGTGAAAGTTGGAGTTATTTTTGAAGGATGGGAACCACGCGCAACCGCAGCAATGTTAAGAATTAGATTATATTTCTTAAAACATTTTTTTTAAATAAAACTATAACGAATCATTGCCTTACACAGATGTTTATGTCTCCTCAGTTGCTGATGACTATCCTGACTATTTGCAAGATGAAAAGAAGGAAGATAAAGCATTTTATACGACCGAATTCAATCAAAAAATTGAAGAGTGTGCGAAAAAGAACTGTGGACCTGCTTGTTAGTAAGTTTCATTAGTTCAATTTTCTAAACATTTAATTTCAACTCAATAGCAAATTAAAGAATTTGTCATTCAAATTCAAGGCACCGAAACGGCTATGGCACCTAATTGCAACTAATCGGACATATAAGATATAAGATATCTTATATGTCCGATGTATGGCATATAAGATCCATGAACACATAATGGAAAATGTATGATGATGGTGACCATCAAATGATGTCGATCATCATGAATCGCACTTAAACCGACATAAACCTTTAAAATGTTTTAATGGGACCATCAAGACTTTTGACTTGGGTGTAGATTCATCTCCAGCTGAACTAACTGTAGTAAATTGGATAATAAAAAAGTAACAAATAATTATAAATCAAAAAAAAAATACAGCGAATTTTCTCTGGATAAATGAGTTTTATAAATGTTTTCAAAAAGTTTTCAATTCGTTTCATTGGTTCTAGAGGTATAACATGACATGCAAAAAATGAAACTAACTTTGAATGACTAAAATAATCGACTGCTTTCTTTGACTGAAGAATTTTTACTGAATATTACATATTCTGGATACAAACATGCATATTATCACCCTAAAAAAATATAATCAGGTTGTTACCTTTTTTTTCATTTATTTGCTTACTGTGATTGACCACTGGAATAGTTTTAGAAGTTTATTATTTAAGTATTTTTTCTCGTTACAACCCTACTTTCAGTTTCTGGGTAACAGTCAAAAATGTAGCAGACTAATCATTCGAGAAATATTATTTTTTTAAATTAAATTATAGTAACTTCATTTTAAATATATTTATTTATTTATTTTTTGGTAGATTCTTGGAGTTTGTAAAATATATAATTCGGTTTGTTTCATTTTCAGCGAAGAATCCTACCAAGTAATTAAAGATGTTGATGATGTGCAAAACGAGGCAAGTTTGTATTTGTGTTTTTATTACAAAATTTGATTTTATCTCAAACTAACAATTACAAAATTTTAAATAGTTTGATAAACATTAACGTAATTAAATAAGTAGTTAGTTTTTAGTAGTTAGTAAATAAGTAGCTAAGGGTCAACCTTAATGGTTCTGGGGGTGACCGCAAATATGCTAATTAATTAGCGCTAACTATTAATCAAGCTACGAAATTGGACGCAAAAACGTAATTTCTCTGAATAAACATACCTTTTTTTTCGTTAAATTCCTNTTCAAAATATAGAGAGTAGCCCGCAATTTGGGAAACATGGTTCCCATTGTTTGGTTTGGTCAGCAGAGCGATCCAAAGTTCAGGCCCCTTAATCTTAATTTCACTTTTTTCGTTTTTAGTCATATTTTCAAGACTAATTAAGCAATTCAAAAAAAAAAAAATTGCCCCTACTTATAAAGCTCTTCTACCCAAAAATAATTTCTCCTAAAGAAAAATAATTTTTAATAATTATTTTTTATCATTTAAGTTATCTGAAGATAAAAAAAATTTTGAATTATGAGGTATGAATTTTTTATACTATATAAATCTATATCTTTTTCTAATGAAAAATTTAAAGTTTCAACTTTTTTTTATTCACTAGAAGCTGAGGAAAATGAAAATGAATTATTTTTAAAAAAATAATTTGACGACAACGAAGAAATATTTAAATGGGGTGATTAATACTAAAATGTGGTTACCTTACGAGGAACTTGACTTACGCACGGGAAGCATAAAATTTCATTCATATTTCTTTCGCTAGTAGCCGATTGCTAATCTTCTTTTCCTCGTTTATTTTTTAATTCTAAAACACGATGTTTCTTTTTTAGTCGCCTAAAATTTTATTCGTAATTTAGAAAAGAAATTTAAATAAAACATTTTATTCTACAAATGACGAGTTTTATAAAAGCAAGCTTCTGATAGAATATGATTATATGATTATAAATAAGAACTTTGCTTATATTTTAATGTGATTATATTAATTTTTTAGCCACCTTTTTCAATAATTGAAACAATTTCAATAATATACATACGTATGCATAGATATGGAATAATATACATTTATCAATTTCTTCACTATACATTTTATAATTATTAATACAAATACGTAGTTCACATTTTTAAACATATAGAAATTTCCCAACATCTTATATATCGTCTTAATCTTAAAATACATTTTTTAATCACCTGCGCGTGTTTTACCAACTATTTAATTAAATTTTAAGATTTTTAAAAAATCATCTTCTTTACGTTACATTTTCAAACATTTTTAAAAAATGTTCTTCTTTCTTTATATTGATTTTTCATTAATATACTAATAAATTTTTGTAATACTTTAATTTAGGTTTTCATTTATATTAATGTTCCTTTTCAAATTATTGTCAAGTTTTGATTAAAAGAAAACTTGCTGTTAGCTAAGAATAAATCTTATTAAAAAAATTAAAAACATTCTGCTCTTTAAATTTATTTGATGCAAAACAGCTGACTATTTACTAAGTGCACTATTTTTTCGAAAAATGAAGATAAATTGTTGATTTTTTTTTCTGGTGACTTCAACATAGATTGTCTAAAATAGTGCTGATGTTTTATATGTCCCCACAAATAGTATAAATATACCGAACAAAAAAAGTTGTCGAATATGTAGCCAACATTTTTAAGCGTGTTAAAATATCTCAGTATCTAAAATGTCGTCCTAACAACTTAATTGTGAAATAAAAAATTTTTTTGCCTGGCCGCGTGTGGTTTACTAATTATTTCATTATATTTTTCATTATATTCATTCATTACATTTTATGTTATTATTCATTATATTTTTTTTTATTCATTCATTATATTTTATGTTATTATTCATTATATTTTATCTTATTCATTCATTATATTTTATGCTACCACGTAGATATTTTCCTTGATAATATGCTAAACTATTTTGTTTTTATTGGTACTTGGAGGTTTTCTTTAAACTAGTATTCTGCGCCCCCTGCTCGCTAACGCTCGCCAACCGCCAAAAATTGCTACGTAATCTTATATGGTTTGCTTCGCTCGCTACTAACTTAGGTACATTGCAAATGCTCAAAATTCTAAGAATTCAAAACAATCATTTAAATCCATATAGCAACTTTTTTTCAAAAAAAATATTACATCTCTTTAGTAAATACTAAGTCATTAAAATAAATTTGAATTCAAATAAATGACATGTAATTCGTTAAACCTATTAGAAATGTGCTATAGTATGAAATCTTTAGATAAAATTTCTAAAACTGATATCTCTTTAAAAGGGTTAAAATTTTGGCTATAATTAAGTCTATTAAAAATTTAAATGAGTGAATTGCAATGGAAAAACCTGCATAAACAAATAAATTCTAGTAAAACAAATAAATTCATGATATAAATCAAAAATCGTCAAATAGATTCGTAATATATAAATTCGTGATAAAAAGCTCTTTCGACAAAATACTAAAATAGAGATCTATCGACAAAGACTACTCACTTCTGCCTAGCTTATGCTCTCTCTGGTTATTTCAGTTTTTTAAAAGCGCTTTATGTTGAGCCATCTCATCTAGATTTGGCATGTGACATTTTTAGAGGCAATGATTGGTCGATTTTCTAGCGTTGCCATTCGGGGAGTTGTAATGAGGTTGTTTTTTTTTGTCGCCGTGTAAAAGAAATATATATATAGATTATTGCTCGCTGTAAGTTTTTTTTATATCAGAACTGTAGCCAGTTAGCTGATAAAATTTTAAAAACAATTTCTATGTTAAAATTACAACATAGTTTACTACGATCAGTCAGATGCTAAACGTCTGACTGATTGTAGTAAATTAATGCACCCTTTTCTTTAAGATTAAGCAAACAAATTATTGGCTTTATTGTTTCTTATTTGTTTGGTTTGTAAAAAGTAAATACATATTAGTGCAACTCCAAAAACCACAACTGTTATATTTGTGCTATGTTATATTAACCACAACTGCTATGTTATGCTGTAACCACAACTCCTATGTTATATTACAACATATGTTAAAATTACAACATTATTTACTACGATCAGTCAGGTGCTAAACGTCTGACTGATCGTAGTAAATAAATGCACACTTTTCTTTAAGATTAAGCAAGCAAATTATTGACTTTATTGTTTCTTATTTGNCTCTTTTACACAAAGATAATTTCACATAAAAACTAATTTTTAATAATTATTTTTAAATTTTTATCATTCAAGTTAATTGAAGATTAAAAAATTTTGAATTATGAGGTATGAATTTTTTATACCATATTAATCTACATATTTTTCTATTGAAAAATCTAAAATTTCAACTTTTTTTTATTCAGTAGAAGCTGAGAAAAATTAAAATTAATAATTTTTAAAAAAAATAATTTGGCGACAATGAAGAAATATTTAAATAGGGCCAATAATACTAAAATGTGGTTAACTTACGAGGTACTTAACTTACCTACGGGAAGCATAAAATTTTATTCATATTTTTTTCGCTACTAACCAATTGCTAATCTTCTTTTTCTCTTTTTTTTAAATTCTAAAACACTATGTTTCTTTTTTAGTCGCCTAAAATTTTATTCGTAATTTAGAAAAGAAATTTGAATGAAACATTTTATTCTACGAATGACGAGTTTCATAAAAGCAAGCTTCTGATAGAATATGATTATATATGATTATATGTAAGAATTTTGCTTGTATTTTAATGTGATTATATTTAATTTCTTAGCCACCTTTTTCATTAATTGAAACAATTTTCAATAATATACATAAGTATGCATAGATATGGAATAATATATATTTATCAATTTCTTCAATATACATTTTATAATTATTAATACAAATACGTAGTCCACATTTTTAAGCATATTGAAATTTTCCAACATCTTATATATAGTCTCAATCTTAAAATAAATTTTTTAATCACCTGCGCGTGTTTTACCAACTATTTAATTAAATTTTGACATTTTTAAAAAATCATCCTCTTTACGATATCACATATATTAATTTTTCATTAATATACTAATAAATTTTTTTAATACTTTAATTTAGATTTTCATTTAAATTAATGTTCCTTTTCAAATTATTGTCAAGTTTTTATTAAAAGAAAACTTGCCTGCCAGCTAAGAATAAATTTTGTTAAAAAAATTAAAAACATTCTGCTCTTAAAATTTATTTGATGCAAAACAGCTGACTATTTACTAAGTAAACTATTTTTTCGAAAAATAAAGATAAATTGTTGATTTTTTTTGCTGGTGACTTAAACATAGATTATCTAAAATAGTGTTGATGTTTTATGTGTCACCACAAATAGTATAAATATACCGAACAAAAAAAGTTGTCGAATATGTAACCAAAATTTTTAAGCGTGTTAAAATATCTCAGTATCTTAAATGTCGTCCTAACATCTTAATTGTGAAATAAAATTTTTATTTACCTGGCCGTGTGTGGTTTACTAATTATTTCATTATATTTTTTACTTTTTCTTTATGCTACCACGTCGATATATTTCTTGATAATATACTAAACTATTTTGTTTTTATTGGTACTTAGAGGTTTTCGTTAAATTATTGCTCGCTGTAATTTTTTTTTACATCAGAACTGTAGCCAGTTAGCTGATAAAATTTTAAAAACAATTTCTATGTTAAAATTACTCAATGCTAAACGTCTGACTGATCGTAGTAAGTAAGCACACTTTTCTTTAAGATTAAGCAAACAAATTATTTACTTTATTGTTTCTTATTTGTTTGGTTTGTAAAAAGTAAATACATATTAGTGAAACTCCAAAAACCACAACTGTTTGCTTTGATTTTTAAGTAAACAAATTTGAACAGCAATTTTTTTGGCGTTTTAGCTTATATATTACGCAGTTAATTTTAAGAAAGTTGCTCTTTAAAAAAATGTGTTGAAAAAATTTACTTCCGTTAAAAAAAATTTTAACTTTAACATGATTCACAAGATATTATTATAGTATAATTTGCTATTAGAAAAATGCCTTATTTTGTTAAATAGTGAATACTAAATATTGAAATTTGTAAAAAGATTCCGAAATCATGCCAATTTCAGAATCCTCATCTGATTTTTAAGAAAATGCAATGAGAAATACGCGATTTTCAAACTTATTCTGATAAAAAAAAATAATAATAAATATGCGAAGAGAAGATTAGCATACTTTTTACAGAAACTGTGAAAACCAATTTTCCTACATATTTTGTCGCAAGAGGATAAGAATAACATTGCTCAAAGAGACCTACTCAATAAATTTCGTTTTTTTTCGAATTGAAATTATAGAATCTGTTTGGACAAAACATATTATTCCTTGAAAATTAAAACGAGAAAATTTTTAAACTATTATTATTTATCTAAGCTTATTCCATTCATTAAATGATAGTGGTAACAAGATGAGGGATATGTGATGGAAGCCCTGTTTACTGCTGTACTATAAATGCATTAAATCATATAGCTTGAATAATTTATTTTGGACAAATTATTTAATACTTTTAAGCAAATAAGGGTGTAAAAGTAAACTCGTTCGAAATATACCTAAAGTATATCCTAAAATGTATATAGAATAAACTTTACACTCGATAAATAAAAAATACCCTTTTAAATAACTTCAAAAAAAAATTTGAAAAGATAAAAAGAAAAAAAACGCCATTGATTTGTTTGGAAAGTGGTGACCAATTATTATTTTTTCAATCAAAGAACCTATGCCTGTACCTTACCTAAAACTTATTTCAATATCGAGTGAAGTAATTTAATATACTGTATTACTAAATAAATAATCTTAAAGAAACTGAATCGAAAACATAAAAACTTCATTGATATAAAAATTAATTGATGATAATAAAAATAGATACGTTTTGAGAGTCCAATAACTAAAGTCAGAACTCATTCACACATGACGAGTCTTGAGAATGAGCGCTTATATTTGAACACTTGAAACATGTCAACTTTTATTTCCCTCCTCATATATTTTGAAACAAGATAATTTTTTTTCATCAGTTATACTGTTTTACTTTTGGGCCCTGATCATTACTTTGATAAGGATTTTAAGCTCGTTAAAGTAAGCATATGCATTTTAATATTTTAAGAGGATTCATGTGATCCTTAAAAATGCTAGAGAACCGTAGCATCCATATTGCAACTATAAAAGTTATCTTAAACTTTAAAATAAAATTTTGAGTTGAAGAAATTGAATATTTTATCTTTTAAGATTTTGAGCCATCTTAAGAATCTTACGAATTCTATTTAAAGGCAGAGTATCATATCAGATATATTTATGAGAAAACAAAGAAATCTTAGAAGCGGTATTTGGTGATTAATGAAGCTTATCGTAATTGAAGAACATGTTGTGCGACATTTTATGGTGGATTTGCGAAAATAAGTTTCAAAATGTATCGAAATATCAGGATGCTGTTTGGAAATCATCTTTATCCAAAAAAAACCATATAACCTAAATATCTAGCTGAATGAAGCGATTTTCTAAACAATGAATCATACAATATGCAGCATATTATTTCAATATGTTATTCTTAAACATAGCATATTGCACTGTATTTAAAATGCCACTTAACATTCAGCAATTCCTTCAGTTTCAGAAAAAAGAACTATCGTAAATTATATAAAACCCTATGAATGTGCATTAGAATTACTATACAATCCACATTTTATTTTTCAGGCCATTTTTTTTTTTTTTTTTTTTTTTTTTTTTTTTTTCTGTTTCTTCAAACTTTTTTGCCTAGAAGACTCGACTAAAGCAGTAAAAACGTTTATCCCTAAAATTTTGTATTTACTTATAATAAGTTATGCAAATTTGATTTTAGTGTGAAATCCTAGTATAAATAAAGTGAAAACAACATAAAAAACCCAAATGATGTCAGATTAAAAGCTCATGTACTCAAATTCTAAAAGCTTAGAAAATCATAAATAATTTATACATCTATTCAAATTTTCTTTTTAAAGGTTATAAAAAAAAGAAAACAAATCCTTGCTTTTTTGGACAGAAATCAGTTTAAAAATGTACTATTGCTTAGAAACTTCGAGATATTTTCTATTAATTATAATTAATTAAACCTCTCCAAGCAATCACAGAACATTATTTCAACTTTTTTTTTACAGTCAGAACTTGACTTAGCAACGGTGTAAATTAAGTATTCCTCATTTGAATTAGTCTATGCGTTATTTCAAAATATTTATTTGTGGACGTAACTTTTTTTGGCTGTTTTCTGGACTATCACCAAATATATAAATCTTTATTGCGACCCAATTTACGACCTTTTCTTTTTTTTTTGAAATTTTATCTATCCCCCTTCCCCAATTACAAGGCTCAGGACTCCAATTATTTAAAAAAAATATGTCTATTCGGAGAAAGCACGCTTTTGTGTCTGATTTCATAACTTAATTAATAGTTAGCACTAATTGATTAGCGTATTTAAGGTCACCCCCAGAAACCATTAAGATTGACATTTAGTTCGTGAAAATCCGATGATTAGAACGAAAGTTATTTAGGGAGATATTTTTTTTGCCGACTGTACAATCTTATTTGTTAGGTAGAAGATAATTTAAGTTTCAAAATCTGGCACAAAATTTTTATTCCTCAAAGTATATGTATGTATATATATAT